GGCCTACCCTGTAGTCGAATACTATGGAGATGGTTAAAATGCGACAAGTGTCAAAATTTAGCAAGCTAATCCATCGTCCGGCCACCGACCTGACGGCAATCCACATTCCTTTGCCGTTTGCTAAAGGGGGCATGGACATTTTGGGCCCATATACGGCTCCTCCAAGCGGCAGGCGTTATATCTTAGTGGTTGTGGACTACTTTACTAAATGGGTAGAGGCGGAGGCGGTCAAAAACATCAAGAAAAAGGACGTCATCTCTTTCATCTAGAAAAATATCATCACCCGCTTTGGGGTGCCTATGTCTATGGTTTTTTACAATGGTCCTCAGTTTGACACCCCTCACCTAAGGACTTGGCTGGGAGATCAAGGGTTCTCTAATTATTTTGCATCAGTCGGCTGACCCAAATCAAACGGCCAAGTTGAAGCCTTCAACAAGTTAATCTCAGACGGCATAAAGAAGAAAGTTGAAAGAGCTGGCGGCCTATGGGCAGAAGAATTACCACACGTCCTATGGGCCATCAGAACAACAGCGAAAGGGGAAACTAGAGAAACCAAATTTCTCATTGTGTATGGGGCAGAAGCTGTCTTGCCCATTGAGCACTATGAGCCGACTCTTCTGATTATGCTATTTGATGAAGATGAAAACTAGGAGACCATGCGCCTGGCATTAGACTCACTTCCAGAGCGCAGGGGCAATGCTGCCTTGCGCCATGAGATCTACCGCCTGAGAATGACTCGAGCTTACAATAAAAAAGTACACAAGCGCCCTTTAAAATTTGTGGACTTTGTGTTACGAAAAACGGAGGTAGTGGTAAGGCGAATGAACAAGGGAAGTTAACCCCAAATTGAGAAGGCCCCTACCAAATTTATGAACAAGTAAGAAGCGACATCTATTTTTCAGTTGAAGAGGGACATTATTGCCACATGCCTCAGCAGCTTTCATGTTCTTTGAATTTTCCAGTTTTTGCAGTATTATTTTGATGACTGGAATTTATGCCACAATTAAGATTCATTTTTATGGTCATTTTCCCACATTTGCGGCTTGTTTACATCCTTTTCTTTGCACTTAGTTCCCTTTCCCATTATGCATCTTCTTTCCTAGATTTTGCCCCTTCTCCTACTCTTTACTTTGATTTCCATGCTTATGCTTTGTAGGAACCACCAGGTCTTCAAGAGGAGGAAGCTAAGCTCAAGGAAACCTGAAGGAAGCAAGATTCAGGAGAGGTTCGGCCGAACCCCCTAAAGGTGTGGCCGAACCAGGGTGTGGCCGAACTGTTCATTGGTCCGGCCGAACAATTTTGGCAGTTTCAAGTGGCATTTTGGCGAATTTGCAGGAGTGGCTGAACCTCAGAAGTTCGACCAGACCAGGATCAGGGAGGTTCGACCGAACCTACCCATGGTTCGGCCGAACCTTCCCAGTGTTCGGTCGGACCACTCCTCTATTTTAGCTGGTTGTGTACGGACTATATAAGTCCCATATTAGAAAGTTTTGATGTAATTAGATTAACTTGGTTTTCAATTTCTGCATTTTTAGCTTAATCTAGAGATAGAAACAATATTAGTTTTCATTTTGGTAGAGAGAGAAAGTGTGGATTTGTTTATTGATGAACTTGGATTTTGAAGAAGTAGCTTGTTTAATCTTTTGTAGATCTTCAACTTCAATTAATGAGCAATCTCTTACTGTTTGTCTTTACTTTTGCATTTAATTTTGTTTGTTTACTTTGATTTTCCTTCTTTTCTTATTAATCATGTTGATGCTTATTGATTTGGTGATTGATATTATTTTCAACATGATTTGTGAGTAGTCACTTAGCCAAGGGTGTAGGGATAGTGTAGTTGCTAATTGTTCATGCTTATAATATTGGGATTAAGTTAATTGTGATTAAAATCTTTGCATGCTTGATATTCTATGATCTTCTTGCAAGTGCACATTGTTGGTTCATTATTATCAAGGTGAATCTTTGCTAACAAGGAACGGAAGTTGACTTAGTTAAGGTTCATTACTATCAATTGTTCTTTGATTGCACCTCTTAATATATGGTTCTATTGTGGAAACTGATTAGGGGATTTTGCTCCCACCAATCGGAATGCGCCACGTGGGCCAATCAAGTCCTGCCAAGTGTCCCCCAGTTGGAACTATCAGGGCTTGCCACGTGGCACGCGCTTATTCGTCCACCTTGGACCTATTATGTCATGACACGTGGTGTTTCGGGGTTTTTTGATGTGTCCTGCGGGAGAGTTACAATTCCAAGAATGCCCTTCGACGCCTGTGCCTGCAAAATCACGAAGACTCCTGGGGGTAGGAGCTCCGCCTCCGACGATCAAGTTAGTAAAGATACGGGAGGTAGAATACACGTAATGTGGAAGTTACTTCTCGCGTAATGGGAGAATTCCGCAATTAATATTGCTCGGGGTAAGTGTGTTTCTTTTTTGAGGAGTATTCAATGTGATCAACAAATGTTCCAGCCCCCATTAATGAGGGTCCTTCCACTATTTATAGTGGGGAAGGGATGGTTCCCCTTTTAGGGTTTAGAGGACACGTGTCAGCAGAGGATTGGAGCCCTGCTGACCAATGGTTGGATGCCACGTGTCACTAGGCCATTGGGCCATGTGATTAGGGTATTTTTACCCCAAACATTTGCCCCTCACTGGTGCTGACGTGGCAGAGTGCCACGTGGCGCCGGTGAAAGGTTTTATTTTTTATTTTTTATTATTTTTTTTTTTTGTAAGGATGGAAAAGCAGAAGGCGAAGAGTCACGACTTTTCACCTTCCGGGACAAATTCTATAAATAGGAGAAGATGTCCCCCGAGCTCTCATTTACAAACTTTGCCAAATTTCTGAAGATTTGAGAGCAGCCGGCAATTTGAGAGTTGAGAGCATTCGGAGTTGAGATTCGTTGGGAGCAACCGGTCTACAGACCGTCTGGGTCGTTGCAAGCTAGCCAAAGATTTTCGAGAGGGTAATCAGAGAAACCCAGCCGGATTTTGAACCGCCTGCGTCTTCGCAAGCATCCCAGAGAATTTCCAGATTTTCTTCTAGGTACCGTCTCTATTCTTTCTAGCTTTTTCATGTATTTCCGTTTGAGTCTTTTACTCGCATTTTTGTTCATTGGTCCCATAAGTAGATGGACCCCTTATACCCATACCCGGAACCTAGCTGTGAACTCAGCCGGTTTATTAGTACGGCTGAGTCTAGAACTGGGTCTGCCGCCTCTGTTCTTTGGGACAACCCTTTTTCAACACCCATATCGACCGACTCTGTGTCTGTGCAGGACACAATGGCCAGAATCCGGTCTACTGCCAGAGATCCCAACTACAGAAGTGGGAGCTCAGATGAGCAGCCGCCTGAGGTCCCAGCTTCAGGCGGTGAAATAGAGCATGGAGAGGTAGAGCAGAGAGGCTCACCCGGGGGCGCTCCTAGCACCCCGGGTGATAGCATTTTAAACGAAGAGAGTGCTCCCCTCCAGGAGACCAGAGAGCAGGTAGGCTCTGATAAGGAGGTCTCCAACTCCCCAGCCGGCTCTGATGCCGGTCACGTTCAAAGTAGCAGTAGCAGCTACTTAACCGAATATGAGGATAGCGAGGAGGCGGAGAGGCCTTCCTGGGATAATAGGAACGATCCTCTCATGATCGCCGTCTCCTCCAAGGACCGCGAGCTCATGCGGGCTGCGCTGCCAGATTTTATCAAACGGCGGCCGCTGGGGGGTGACTATACAATAAAGGTCCCGGCTGCTCTGGGAACAATATGGTGGGAGGATGGACAACCGAACGCGAACGCTTGGTTCGGGTGCTACGAGGCTGCCTTCGTGGCCGGAGTCCGCTTCCCTCTCCACGACACAATAAGAGCCATACTTAGGGGGTATGGCCTAGGTCTCTGGCAATTAACCCCCAACTCATGGGTAAATATTTTAGGGTATATCGCCGCCTGCGAGATGCAGGGCCTCAACCCCGGCTGGGAGGCGTTTGCCCACATGCATTACTTGAGTAGGAGCCCAGGCGGCTGGAGAGCCTGGTATACCTTGACCACCCAGCCCAAATACCTTATGACCTTGGACAAGCCATCCAAATGGTCGGACTGGAAGCACCGGTTCTACTTGGTTAAGGCCCCAACTACGGCAGAGAACAGAGAATTCCGGATCTACAACCGGAAACCAGAACTCTTGGGGACCAAGTGCTGCCTGCCCCCTGTCCCGGAGGATGATAGAGAGACCATCCTTGACTCCGGGTTTTTTGAGTTAGTTCCTGACACCCTCTCATCCGGAGAGATAGTAAGGGTACCTAGAAACTGGGTGCCCAAACATGAATTTTTTAGGGACGAATGCTTCTTTTCCGCTTGTGGTCTAAGCAGCATGTTTGAAAAACGTATGTATTCGGAACTCAGCCGGTTTCTTTCGAACCGGATGCTTTTATTTCCTTGCTTATTTATTATTCTAACCGTGTGCCTTCCTCTGCAGAAGAAGCCAAGAGAATGCTGCCCACCGAGAAGACACCGGCTAGGTCGGCTGCCGACATCCGGAAAGCCAATCTCGAGAAAAAACTTGCTGCCCAGGCGGCGAAGAAGGTATAACCGTCTGATCCTTCTTGTTTATGTCAATCCTTTTATCCCATAACTTATATTTTTCTCGTTTACAGGACGGGAAGCAGATGCCCCGGTCCCTTCAAAAACAGGTCAGGCCTCCGCCGACCCAACAAGAGTCTGCATCCAAGGTGCAGAAGACAGCCGACCGGCAAACTACCGGCGGCAAATCAATAAGGGTCCCAGACGGGCCTGGATCTGCGGATGTGCTTTCTGCCATCCCATTGAGGACCGCACCCGGTCCCTCTGAAGGCCGTTCGGGCCGCCAAGGTAACTTCGACCTTAAACTGCTTGATCTGCCCATGCGGGTCAAGTCTTATTCACAGTCTCGATCGCAGCCGGGGGATTCTCCAATCAGCCGGCAATCTATAGGCAGAGCATATGCGAGTTTCGCACCGTCTGTTTCTGGTGCAGATAATTCTCCCCGCTGGCCGGACGGGGCACAATATGCCCGGGCCATGCTGAAAGCCGTCCCCAGGGACGAGAAGGAGGCGATCCCTGGGATCAACTCCTTTAATGCCGACCGGGTGCTGGTCGACCTGGCCGACGTATGCTCCAACAACCATGCGGTAATTTTCTTGACGTGCATTTTCAAGTATGCAGTATTAACCGGCTGTATTTTTGCAGGCTATGCTGCGCGTAGAGGGGCTCAAACGAGCTTATACCCGCAAGTCTGAGGAGGTAAGGAGAAGCAAACGGGCTGTGGATGACGCCCATAATGTTGCTGACTACTCTTTGTACATGCATGGCTTAGAATCTAAATCTATACGCATGGAACAGGCGGAGAAGACCAAAGCCCTCCAACAGCAGATTGATCAGCTGAAAAACCAAGTTGACCAACTGCAGGCGTCCCTGGATTATGCCAATAAAAATTTGGAGGAACAGACAGAGCCCCTCCAACGGCTGAGCAAGGCGGAGACTGAAAATGGCCGCCTTGCCAAAGAGAATGAGCGCCTGCGCAAAGAGGCGGCTGCTGCCAATGAGAACTTCAAGGTCACCTTGGAGTCGGAGCAGGAGAGGCTCATTGAAGAGAATGAGCATGACTGTGCAAACCGGATGCAACGGGCGTTTTCCCTCATCCACCCGGAGGCGGACTTCACCGTCTGGGAACTCGCCTTCAAATATTCTGATCTTGCCATTCTGGCCGAGGAGGCGAATGAGCCGGGGTCCGGACCCTATGACGCTTGGGTTAGGGAGGAGATTTCGCGACGGCAGGCGAAGGCTGCTGAAGAGGAATAAGTCGTTCCTGAAGCCGACGCAGCCGCTCACCCTGATCCAACCCAGAACCAACCGGAATAGGACCGGCTCACTGTTCGCCTGGAGTAGCAACTACTTCCCGGCCTGCGTGCCTAGCATTATCTTGTAATAGCGCCGGATGAGATGGGCTAGGCTGTAATAATTTTTATTTTGAATATAAACATTTTCACCGGCTGAGCCGGCTTTTGAATGCTTTTTATGTTTCCGCACTCCAATATTAGAATTCTTGTTATCTTTTATAAATATTTCTGCGAGGATAACCAAAAGAACCCCGCCGGTAACACTACCGCTTGGGTCTGCGCAAACAGCAAAGAAATTTGCAAAGGTTGCCAAGAAGACCCCACCGGTAACTCTGCCGTCTGGGTCTTCACAAACTAGGCGAAGAAATTTGCAAGGGTTGCCAAGAAGCCCCCACCGGTAACACTGCCGTCTGGGTCTTCGCAAACTTGGCGAAGAAATTTGCAAGGGTTGCCAAGAAGACCCCACCGGTAACACTGCCGTCTGGGTCTTCGCAAACTAGGCGAAGAAATTGGCAAGGGTTGCCAAGAAGACCCCACCGGTAACACTGCCGTCTGGGTCTTCGCAAACTAGGCGAAGAAATTTGCAAGGGTTGCCAAGAAGACCCCACCGGTAACACTGCCGTCTGGGTCTTCGCAAACTAGGCGAAGAAATTGGCAAGGGTTGCCAAGAAGACCCCACCGGTAACACTGCCGTCTGGGTCTTCGCAAACTAGGCGAAGAAATTTGCAAGGGTTGCCAAGAAGACCCCACCGGTAACACTGCCATCTGGGTCTTCGCAAACTAGGCGAAGAAATTGGCAAGGGTTGCCAAGAAGACCCCACCGGTAACACTGCCGTCTGGGTCTTCGCAAACTAGGCGAAGAAATTTGCAAGGGTTCCCAAGAAGACCCCACCGGTAACACTGCCGTCTGGGTAATTGCCCCTGGATAGTGGTCTGGGTCTTTGCAAGCCAGGCGACTATCCATATGATATAGCTCGAATATACACTAAGTGCCAACATTAGATTTGGGAGCCAGTCGGTTTATACTGAATTACCGGTCGGGACTTTGCAAAAGAATCACGCCAGATTAGGATGTCCATTCACCGGTCGGGCTTTTGCAAGCATACCCCTGAATGAATTATGGCCTAGACCAAATGTTTAGGCCTGATTTTAGAGAGTCAGGCGACGGTACTGAGTACCGGCTGTCCTTCCAAAAAGTGAGCCGACTGCAAGTTTGGGGTTGCAAGTTTGGGGTTGCTAGCCTGCCTTTTTTGGTACGAAGGATCGTCAGGCGGATTTGACCGCCTGTGTGATCGCTTAGAACAATTTACCACCCAAATGGGAGATGTTCTCTTCGATGAATTCACCTGTAGGGGTGTCACCGGATGATTTTAGGCCTGCTCTTAGAGAGTCAGGCGGATTTGTCCAAAATGGGAGCCGGCTGCAAGTTTGGGGTTGCTAGCCTGCCCTTTTTTGGTGCGTAGGATCGTCAGGCGGATTTGACCGCCTGTGTGATCGCTTAGAACAATTTACCACCCAAATGGGAGATGTTCTCTTCGATGAATTCACCCGTAGGGGTGTCACCGGATGAAAAAATTAGTTACTGGTGCCGCTTGTGGTAGGCACAAAACATGGCGGCTGTATACAAAATTGAATGTAATTCTCATTAATCATTTGAAAATTTTTAAGAGATGTACAATGCTTAGAAGTAGTATTTTTTGAGGTTATCTACATTCCAAGTTCTAGGCAACTTTCTTCCGTCTGGAGTTTCCAGGCGGTAAGTGCCGTCTCGTACTTCTTCAAAGATCCGGTAGGGTCCCTCCCAATTTGGGGTTAATTTGCCTTGTTCATTGGCCCTACCGGTTGCCTTCATTTTGCGAAGCACAAAATCTCCTTCTTTCAAAGGTCTTTTACGAACCCGCTTGTTGTAGGCTCTAGTCATACGCAGACGGTAGATCTCATGACGCAAGGCAGCATTCCCCCTTCGCTCTGGAAGAGCGTCTAATGCCAACCGCATGGCTTCCCAGTTAGCCTCCTCATCATATAACATAATGCGTAGAGTAGGCTCATAATGTTCAATGGGAAGAACTGCTTCAGTGCCGTATGTCATGAGAAATGGGGTCTCACCGGTTGCCCCCTTTTCGGTTGTCCGGATAGCCCAAAGGACATGAGGTAATTCCTCCGCCCATAGTCCACCGGCTCTTTCTACTTCCTTCTTTATCCCGTCTGAGATCAACTTGTTAAAAGCCTCAACTTGAGATCTTTCTCCACCATGATCCCTCCACCATGATCCCTCTTTTTCTGCCTAACCGGCTGCTTTTTGGGGTCTACGGCTAGCTTGTGGACAGCAAGATCCGGGCTGACGCCTGGCATCTCTTCCACTTCAAAGGCAAAGATGTCTTTGAATTCCTTCAGCAGCTGGAGCAAACCTTCTCCCAACCGTTCGAAGGCTACCATCCCGACCTTGACTGTTCTTTCAGGACGGCTGTCATCTAGGATGACATCAAGGCAGTCACCAGCCGGCTGAGGTCGTTGGTCATCTGACCTTTCCCCGGCTAGTGATTGCCATTTCTCCTTTTTGACGGGTGCCAGTTGGTCCGCCTTTCTTTTCATACCGGCTGCCCTTGGAGCCGGGACTGCTGGATCGCAGTTATCAATAACTATGGGCTCGCCCTGGCCGGCTGCACCCATAGTTGTCTTGACGTCAGAGAGATAGCACTCTCTTGCCGTCTTCTGGTCCCCGCTTAAGGCACCGACTGTACCATCATCCTTTTGAAATTTGACCAACATGAGGGACGGGATGATGACAGCCTTAGATGCGTTGAGGGTAGGACGGCCAAATATCATGTTGTAGGCGGACAGCTCCTCCACAACTAAAAACTTGACTATCATGTGGCGTCCTTGCCCCTTTTCACCCAGCCGGATCGGAAGATCTATGCTTCCGACCGGATGCACTACTCCACCCCCAAAACCGACTAGTGGGTGAGGAGCCTGGTGCATGTTACCGGATGTGTACTTGAGCTTGGTCAAGCACTGATAACTGATTAGGTCAGACGAGCTCCCGGTGTCTATTAGGATCCGGCCAACTTTCTGGTTGGCAACCTTGCATTCGATGACGATGGGGTCATCATGAGGCCGCCTGACCTTGCCCCGGTCCTTTTCAGAAATAAGGACGTCAGGGAAGATGTCTTTCGACGCCTGGCCCTCATCCACTGAGTTGACCAGCTTCCTGATGTTGTCTTTGGTGCCCCGGATGGTGGGACCCCCTCCGGCAAAACCGCCTGCTATGGTGAAGATGGTCTCTTCATCCGTCTCGGAGTTTACTGGGCCGGTTTTTGCCGCCTGCCCTTTCTTGGCCTGGGTATTACCCCTAGCCTTGGGTAGATAGGACTTTAGGGCCCCCTCATCTGCCAGACGGTCCAATAGCCGCACGAGGCTATAGCAGCCATTGGTGTCGTGGCCAACATCCTCGTGGTATTGGCAATACTTGCTCTTGTCCCGTTTATTCACGGGGCTTTTCATTTCAGCCGGTTTGTCGAGAGACATCCGGTCTTTGATTTCCAGGAGGATGGTGGAGCAATCTTTTGTGAACTCGTATTTGGGGACATATGGTTCTGACTTCCGCCTGATCTTCTGGGCCGGCTGTCCTGATCGGTCAGCTGCCCAGACCCCTTTTCTCTTTTCTTCCTTTCTTGCCGGCTTATGCTGTTGCCGGCTCTCTTTTTTGTCAGACTTTATATAATCTGACGGCTGCTTGACAGCACAAAGCTCCGTCGCCTGTATATAGGCTTCAGCTTCAATTAACGCCTCTTGGAGGGTAGCAACCCTCTTCCGGACGAGGTCAAACTTAAAGGTCGACCCATCCTTCAGACCTCGAAAGAAGTCTGTATAGGCCACTTCGTCTGATAGTCCTGGAATCTGAATTCTCATCAGATTGAACCGTCTGACGTATGACCGGAGGCCCTCCCGGTCGCCCTGCTGTATTGCCCCTAGGTCGAGGCTAGTCTTTTTGGCAGGAATATTCATTGAGAAATTTGACGTAAACAAGTACGCCAAAGTTCGAAAGCTGTTGATGCAACCGGCTGGTAGGTTACCAAACCACCGTTGGGCTATGCCCTTGAGGGTAGCCGGGAAGCATCGACACCAGACGGCATCATCTAACCCCTGAAGGTACATGAGGTTAGAGTAGGCCATTAGATGGTCTTCTGGGTTGGTGGTGCCATCATAGGCCCCCACCAAAACATTCTTGATCTTAGGCGGCTGTGCCGCCTGGGTTATCTCTGGTGAGAACGCTGTTGGCTGTTCCCCCAAATTTAGCAGGCGCAGCTGCCAGTCCGTGGGTTGGAACGGCTGCTGCGCTTGCCCACCGAAAAGACCCGGTGACATGAAAGGGGATCCACCCAACCCATTCGTTGTGCCGAATAGGCCAGGCTGGATCACTTTGGGTCCAGACCGGGAAGAAGCTTCGCCCGTCTGGCTCCTAAGGTTCGTTCCCGTACGCCTGTGTGAGATGTCATGGAAACTGTCCGGGAAGGTCGATGTTGAGGCCGACGCAGACGCCTGACCTCGCTTCTCTTGGAGAAATGTGCGGGCGT